CCCTTATCATGCCTATACTTGTAATAAGAGTAAGTTTTATATAAACTGATAGTGTATACACTTACCGTTAGATCCATGACATATGTGCAAAAGTTAAATTTTAAATTCAAATTTTGCATATTTATCATTCATCTAATGGTATCAATATAGGAAAGATTTATTCAGTAATAATAATGATGGTGCGATTTTGATGGTTGTACATGATGTAAAAGCAATCGCAACGCATCTAAATTTTTGCCATTGTCTAGGTTATTGATCTCAAGGGTTTGTTCAGGTTGTCAAATTTTTCAAACATTTTTTATTTAGATCATTAAAATATTTTTAATTATTTTTTTATCTCACATATATCGTATAATATAATTACCATTGGTAAAAGATGGAGCCATAAAACTGAAAAAAAAATGAAATTCAAGATTAAAATATACATGCTTAAATTAGACTTCTACCCCAAAAAGATCAGAAGACAGAGTAGAAACTTATCTTGAACATTGTTCCAATTAACTATTAAAATAGTGTATTTCGGTTCTCAGTTTGTTCTGGGTAAATCTAAATTTTCGAGGTACATACCAAGAAGAATAATTTAAGCTCAAAATTTGTTGTATCCATTAGCTGCTCATTGTTCTTCAAGTTTTACCATGCTACAGAAAAATGTCACAAAAAAAATTAAAAAAATAAACATAGAAAATGTAGAGCTTGTTAATCATTGCTGGAAGCAAGCATACAAGAGCAGCACATATGACTTTGCTTCTGCTGTTAATTGTTCTTTTTCGCGAACAATAGCTATGTTGCATGGTTGACGAAATTTTATGAGATAAAGTATTTGACTATCAATTTCACTGCTACTTAAAAGTTGTGACATTAATTTCAATGTTCGAATTTCATAGGCACTACATACGGTTTTTTCTTGTTACCGAAAATATGTAATCCAAAACAGAAATCATATGAAAAAGAAGATTTTTGTATTCTTATATTATAGAGCTTCGAGACAAGAAGTCATTCATAATTCCCAGAATATATCTGTAATCCCTATCAAGAGATAGCAAAATAAAAAAAAATGAAAAAGGTTAAGTAATGTGGTAATCAGATGCCTCTTAATATATCGAATAAAAATATTATCACCATAGGAATAAATATTAAATACCCAGCAACGTCTAATTCTACTATAATCATTGTTTGGAATTCCCTCTGACGTTTTCTTTGTCTCTCCCAAACATTAGAGGAAATTCCAAACAATGATAACATCCAAACAATGAAAAAACCATTAGAGGGAATTCACTCCTAACTTCTCATAATGAAGCATTTTTTTCGTCCTCCGTTACTCGTAGTGAGGTTTCAATTGATCAGGAAAAATCCATATGGGTCATATCACTATACCGGGGCACCTGCCGGAGATGCCGCTGGTGCAGGGGGGATTGGCCGGCGGTGCGGCTGGCGCTGGCGCTGGGGCTGAGGGTGCAGCCGGGCTCGGAACTGTGTTCATCATCAGGCATGAATACCCTACTAAGGCAGCAAGATATAAGACCTACAACAACAATCACGGCTGCGATGAGATACCACTCTTGTTTTCCATCCATATTTAGATGTTAACTAGGTGGGTATGACCGCGCTAAGCGCGGTGGATCAATGCAATTATGCCTTGTCTTGTATTGGTCATTGAGGGTTGGTGTGATGTTAGAATAAAAAGAGACATGTAAATTGTATAGGTTGTTCAGTTTAGATTAGTGAAATAGGCTGAAATCATATAATGAAAAGTAAAAGCAAGAAAGGAGTAAATGTAGGCGAGTGGTGTATATGATAGCTGAAAATGTTAGAATGGAATTATATGAAACTGTATATGGAATTATATCTAAAGTTTTATTTATAAAGTAGAAGGTGATGATTTGATAAATTGGATATGAAATGGTGGATAATGGTAAAATATATTGTGGAAAATTTTTTGCTTTTGAAATGTATGGTATCATATTACAATGTAAAATTTTTTGGTAAAATAAATGACAGTTATATATGAAGTAGGTGAACTATTACTAAGATGGATAAGAAGGTAAATGTTTATTAAAAGGAAATTGTTATTGGATGTAAAGTTTAATTTGTAATTGATTTTTATCTTTTTGTAGTATTTTTAGCTATGAAATCATGTTTATTGATCAATCACAGAGTATTAATAAATAAGGATAATATAGTTCATGAATAATGTTACAGATACAAAAAGTTAATGACTAATTGTAATAATAAATTGGCTAATTATAATAATGGATATGAAATACAGGGTACCAAGGGAAAATTTTTTCATCGCCATTGCTGTTAAATATTAAAACAGTAAAGACGGTCTTCGATTCTGGAATGAAAATAAGGACGTCATTGTGCTGGAGTTGATGTTGAACAATGAAAGCTTTCCAATTTTTTTTTAGCCGCTTGCCTTTGATTCCAATTTCTGTTATGTTATCTCCAGTTTTGAGAGCTATAAGTGGAGTTTTTTGTTCATTGAGAAAGTAGTCAACAAATCGTGGGATAATCTGATACAAAAAGTAAAAGTTAGTGAGCTAAGTTGAAGGAAATGAGTTAGGTAGGGAATAATTTAAGGAAAATATAATAAGGATTATTTACCAATGTATACGGGTCGGCTGAGTGAAAGTTCTGATAGAAGCATACTGAAGTGGATAAATCTTGCGAAAAATGAGGTTGAAGTGAAGATGTCACTATTTCTTCATGAATTGGCGGATTAGCATGAACTGCACATAAGAAATATTTTTGTTGGAATAAATAATGTAAGATTGGAACATTACTATGAAATAGAAAGGATAAAGATGTATTATGAATGTATACAATTTTGCTGAAGATGAAGGTTGGTTAGAGGGACTGTCCAGCTGAGATTAACTTGTTGTTGCAATTCACAAAAATTAATAACATCAAAAAATAAATTCCCAATATGTCGAAGCAATAGTATGTGATGTTCATTAGTAATATTTTCTTCACAATATTTATCCCATCCTGCTCCAAACGAGTCAGCATTTACTGTAATATTCCATTGTTTTGTTCCGTGCATGAAGGTAATTGTGTGACGGCCATGTTGAGATAGTAATGATTTGAATAGAGGAGGTAAAACCTGCATATGATATTAAGATAACAATATTTTAGATGAAATGTAAATTAGAGAAAAATTTGGAAACGTATGTTGTTGAACTAAAACGAATGTACCTGGCCTCTATTTTTGCATCGGATGAGAAAGCAACATCTTTGTGAAATAGTATTTGCCATTTTGAAGAAAATTCAGGTTTGGATTTGTTGTGGTTGGTATTTCAATCTGAAGGAGTTATGAATGTATGGTAGGAGTAGAGTTAGGAAGTCTAGGATAGAAAAGATAGGTATATATAGAGAATGATGAAATTTAGAAAAAAAAAATTTTAACGAAATGAATGTATAAGAACAGGAATAATTAATCAAGATGGTTGAAATAAGAACAGGAATAATTAATGAAGGTGGTTGAATATGTAGTTGGTGCATGTTGTCAGAATAATAAAAATGAGATAACGTTGCTGTAAATGAGAATGATTCAGGAATGAGCACGTGGTTTGGTATGTGAATCTGTATTTTTATACGTGTAAGAAAGGTAAATTGAAGAAGAAAGATAAATGGAAAAAATTTTGATAAGATAAAACATTTAACTTGACAAATAAAGGATTTTGCGTGGAGAAGAAAAGAGTGTTATGTAATCTTGAAACAAGGAAGAGTATAGTTAAACAGCGGTTATTCTATTAATTCTGGCAATGATAAGTTACTGAAGAAAAGACAGCAGTAATACTATGATTTCTTGAAATCGTAAATGGCTCAAAAAAAGCTTCAAACAGCTTCATCATGGCCATGGAACTATTACAGACATTGCTTGTCGACTGTTATTTAGCTAGTTACCCTTCAAAGAGTTTATTCTACTGCTGAATCAAACACTATCCAGTAAGTCAGAGTTTGTAAAAGGTAACCTTAACTTCTAGAAGAGATATTCAGGCAGAATACACTAAGGAGCACAATAAAACAGTAAGGCCAGAGAAAGAGCAAGAAGTCGTGGCAACACAAGTCCCTGGTGATTTAATTAGAGACAACATAAAAAGTTGCAACCAAGGAAATTGCTATCAGAAAAGTTGGTCTATCGGGTTAATACTGCTCTATGTTCTAAATAGGCATTGGCATTGGCATAAGAACTTATCGAAATAGGAGAAGGTATACACCTAGTTAATGCGCTGCAAAACACCACTATTTGAAGCCAAAATACTCCATAACAAGAACAAAAAAGCAAACAAAACTACAAAAGTAACACCGAGCCATTATGATAGATCAAAGGATACCAAGAACCAACTTGTGAACAAATTCCGTTTGATACTTCCTGTCATTTCCCTATTGCACATTGTGATTCCAAAACTAAAGCAAGATATACATGTTAGGGAAACTGGGAAGCCTATCAGCAAATGACACACATAAAACTGCTTTCTGGTGATAAAAAATGTCTGGCAGGATTGCATCAGGACCATCATTTGGGTTCTATATATAGTTTAGCAAGAGATATAGGTTGCTATATTGTAATACCCTCCCCGCCTCAAGTTCTTATCTTATGTTATTCCATCTTTTTTCCTGTGATATTTTTACACAAGTTAACTCCAGTAAAAGAATCACACAATTGCATATAACAGATGGGAAAAACAAAGCTCCAAAATAAGTAGTATGTCTACATTTAAAGAAATGTAATTCTGAAACAAGGAACAACATAGTTAAGTAGCAGTCATTTTCTGATTTCTGGGAATCATAAGTTGCTAAACAAAACACAACAGCAATACCATGATCTCTTAAAATCATAAATTACTGAACAAAAAGCATAGAGCAGCAATTTAGTTTGAAAGTAGCAATCCTAAGTTTCAAAAGAAACTATAGAACATGAGAACTTAGTTCAGTTTTGGCTTCTTGCTGCAGCTAGTTCCTTCAAGCTGAGAAGCATTTTTTTCTGGTTCTTCAGCCTAATCAAACTTTTGATTTAGTGAAAGACGAATCTTTGAAGTTGGATTGTTTTCTTCAGTAGTTAAAGTGCCTGGAGAAGAATGGGATTAATTTGAAGTAAGAAAAAAGGATTATTTATCTGTGATAAGTATATTTATATACCTGAAGTTGTGGTCTGTGAAGGGCCATCCTGATTATGAACTGATAGAAAGGGAATGATTGATTCATTGACAGAAGAAATTGGGGTAGCAGCATCGGCAATCTCAGAATAATAAATGATTGTATATCGCTGCTTTGTATCTGCAACTTGAGTTTGTACTGGCTTAATGTGTACCAAGAACCACTTTGAGTCAAGTTCTTTGTGGACGATTTCAAGTGGAAGTTCAATGTTCTGTGAATTAGAAAGTATTTAAGAAAAAGTTTTCAGAAAGCAGAGAATATGGTTTCAATTTGTGATTTAGGATAAGTGAATAATAAGTTGAACATGAACCTGCTTAAAGTGTTCCATTATTTCAAGAGCATTGAACGTCAGCAGTTGTTCAGCTTGTTCTCCAAAGATAGAAGCTGTGATAACTCCAGTATGATCCCGTAAATCCACATCAAAGCGACACCTGTAAAAATGTTTGTAAATAAAAGTTTAGCATGTGTAAAAAGTGATGATGATAGTAAACTTTAAAGCTTTTTCGAAAAAAAAAGATTGGTTTTAGTAATGAACCTTGGTTCAGCAGGATGTTTTTCTTTACAAGTATTACAGCTAAAAATGACTTCATGTGCTGCTGCAGTACCTCGATAACATTTTTTGCAGCTCATATATCAGTATTTTTGAAATATGTGCTAGAAACTGAACTGTGCTTTGACCCATGTACTCTAAATTCAGAAGTAAAAAGTATGAATATGTTGTTTGATAAATAAATGTACCGTAAAATAAACTATCAGTGAATATGTTTATACCTTGTGGGTAGGATTAACATTGCAAATTAAGGTGGTCTTTTGATCTGGTTTCAATGAAAGTTCTGGATTGTATCTGGTATAAGTTTTCTGTTCCAGAATAACTGTCAACTCCTTGCTATTTCTTATTGCCCTATAATAAAATAAGGTTAAAGAAGTAAAGAATAAATTATATTGCATGAATCATGAACTGCTAAGAATGATAATGAAAGGGAAGAGATAAATCAAAACCAATTCTTTAGTTCCCTTGCTTCTTGAACCAGAGGATCAACGAGGATTGCAGAATCAAACCATGTGCACAAAGAAACACCTATAGAGAATATTTATTGACTCAGGATCATTTGTTAGAGAGACTTATATATGGATATAAATGTATCAGATAATGGTTAGGCATTAAATTGTAAGTTACCATTGTAGTTGTTGACTTTTATCCTTCGGGCAATAATAACAGGATAGTTGTTCATGGCAGAAATTATCTGTTCTCCTTCTTTTTTGATGAAATCATCCCACATAGAAAGTACAACAGTTTGCAATCTACTATGAAATAAATAATTAGTATTTAATAAGATATATGTAAGAGGAGAAATTATAACTACTGATCGTTATATATAAGATGAGAATTGGACATCTTACTTTTCATTCACAAGCACAAACTTTTGAACAATAGACTCTCTGTAGTGTGTAGTAATTGCCTTTTTCTCCAATGCTTCAATAACTATTCCAAGGACATCTGGAAAAAGGAAAAATTTGTTGAATATTTCATGCAGAGATATGCATATTATTTATATAGATAAAGTAATGAGATATACCAACTGATTTAGTCTTATCGTCCATATACTGTGCCAAATCTGTAAACTTTGTATAGTTGAACTTGACAGGCATTATATCTTCATCATCAAGAACCTCTTCAATAACAGTTTTGCTTGTGATTGTCCACTGATGAGTTATTTCAGCAGTCTGATATTTTGGTAAGATTGGCTTCACTTCAGCATTGGATATGTTGTATTTCTTATAAACTTGAAGGATTGAGCTCATTCTAGGGATGTCATTGTTGAAAATAATGCCTTCAACTTTTGATCCCTGTTGTATTATAACATAAGTTACCACAAACTAACCTTCCAAATAGCATCAATAAGACAGACAACTCGAATGCAGAAAACAATAGTATCCTTATATAACCTTTTGATAATGGAATAGAGGAATTTAATTACATACCACAGTCCATGGTTTATACTTTTGCAAGAACCATGGCACAATAGGCAATAATATTTTCTGCGAAACAATTTGTGTACCTCAACGTCAATAAATATGAACTTTTGCTTTTTTGTTAGGGTGGACATTGATTGAGTAACTTGCTGTTTTTCTTGAACTATGATTTTGCATGTCCAACTTTGCATTTCAGGCATAATTTCTTTTATTGTGAGCAACTTTTCCATTCTGCATTTTCATGTATACAAAGGAAGAAAGATATCAGAAGGATTCATATATACAGCAACAATCATTCTTGAAAAGGAAGAAAGTTATTATGGCCATAAAGTACCATATTAGTCAAAGAGTAATGAATGGTTAATCTGTATGATATACCTAAACCGTAATAACATCAGTGCTGAGTTAGCTGAAATATTTCTTGGAATACAACATTTCTAGTCTTGCAATCAACTTTAATGTCTCCAAAAGTTCCAGGCACAATGAGAATTTTAACTGCAGCTGATGTTTTAGCTCTAGATAAGGCTACGTACAACTGTCCATGAGAGAAAACCGGCTCACGAAGGTAAATCCCCACATAATCAAGAGTTTGTCCTTGAGATTTGTTAATTGTTAAGGCAAAGCAAAGCCGAACAAGAAATTGTGTTCTTATAAATGGGAGGCCGTTCTTTTCACTATCAGATGTTTGAAGAGGAATTTTAGGCAAAAAGATTCTTTTCCCTTGGTGCTGGCCAAAAGCTATTTCAGCACAGATTGTATGCTATCTGAGCTCTCTACAGATGAGACGTGTACCGTTACATAATCCTTCTACAGGGTTCAGATTTCTCAAAAGAATGAGGGGACAATTTTCTTTAAGCAACAACTTGTGAGGAGGAAGACCTTTTGGATTTTGTGAATTGAGAAAATCTTCATAATCTCCTTGATGACACTGATCAACAGTTTTATCAGAGCTAATATAAACATGAAGATTTCCGGGAAACCTTTTTATCATGATATCATTTAGCTCATCAACCGAACTGTTTTTTGGAGTAAGAATGCACCTATTGATCATAGTATAAGGATCATTTGAATAAGCCAATAAATCTGGAAATACAGATTTTATCAACCTGGATATAAGAAAAGTAAATCAAGATACATATAAAGGGCAAATTTAGAAAGACAAGAAGTAGTAAAAAGAAGCATAGTTGAATAACAATTTTATAACCTGTTTAGAGATTCTTCTTTTTCATAATATGGAATGACCATGTCATTCGGTAAGGTTATTTGGCCCTGTGCATCAACAGGCTCTCTTCCTTCACCCACCCTTAAAAGAAACTCTGAGAATACTGGGTCCAAAATGGCCCGCATATTTTCTGTTAGTTTCAACATATGAAATTGATTCCATAGAGGTGAATTAGGAAGGCTAGCTTCTATGAGAGTTTGTTTTGAAGCTCGCTCAATCACAGGTAAAGTTTGTCGAAAATCTCCTCCAAAAACTATCACCTTTCCTCCAAATGGCAGCTCAGATTCTATTATGTCTTTAAGCAAATGATCAAAGGCTTCAATAGTTTCTTTTTTGGCCATTGATGCTTCATCCCACAATATCAGTTTTGATTCAAAAAGTAGTCTTGCAACACTACCTTGCTTACTGAGCTGGCAAGTTTTATTTGTTGACAAATCCAGCGGTATTTTGAATCTAGAATGGGCTGTTCTTCCACCTGGAAGAACAGATGCTGCTACACCGGATGTTGCGACTACAATAGCAAAAGTGACCTATAGAGAAAGGTTTTACCAGTTCCACCCGGACCATCGATAAAGAAACTTTGGCCAACAGAAGAAGAAATTGCATGCAGAATTAAATCGTAAGCATGCCGTTGCTGAGCATTCAATTTAAAAGGCAAAAGCAGATCTTCTGGTAATACTTCAATATTCCTTTCACTGTCAATTTCCTTTGTTAACTGTTCATGATATGCACTTCTAAAACTATCTGGAACTAAATGGTAATCATCAATATTTTTACCCATCTGTTCAAGCAATCTGCTAATATTTTTCAAAACTTTACTTCTGATTTCAGCAGAAGAATAGTGATAAAGTTCTTGTGATCTTTGATAATCACTACATAGCTGTTGTTCAAATTTGTCCCAGAGTAATTTTGGATCAGTGGGTGAACAATGAACAAGAACAGTAGCAAATAACAGTCTCAATGATGATGGCATTTGAAAAATTGCTGCTTCCTCAAGCGTATCTTCTATATATGTATCCGACTGTAATAGACCAAGGTTCAAAGCAGCTTCCCTGAAGCAATTCATTTTTTGACCATTAACAGTTAAAAGGTCATCAAATGACGTAGGTGCTCGCACATGATTTAGCAACAGTCTAAGATAATACCTTTCTCCTTCCTTAGGACTAACAGTTACCAATCTTCCAATAACCTTTTTACGTTTTCTCTCAGTCCAAATTTTAAATTTAGTGGACCAAACAAAATGCTCAGGAAAGTCTCTATAAAAGCATTTCAAATTTTCAGCTTTTGAGTTTGCTTTGTCTATTTCAAAGAACTCGGTTAGCATGGTCTTTGAAAAATCAATCTTTCTCATCAATTCCAAAAGATTTGAATTTTTGTTGAAACTGATAAGCTGCTGACCAGGAAGATGAACTTGAAGAGAATAAACTGCTGGGGTCATCTCATTTAATCGGAATTCATAGATTTGCCAAAATTCTTCAGGGGGTGAAATCCATCTTCCCTGCTGGAACTCTTTTATTTCATTGACATCATCAGACCTTTCTCCAGTAACAATCTTAAAACTAACAAGATCATGTCCTTTGAAGATATATTTGTATAAATATTTCACCAGCTTCAAAGTAGAACAAACTTCTACATTCATGTGGCAATCAAAAAGGGCCAATAGATAAGGACAATATGGAATAATCCATCTATTGTCAAGCTGATATCTACGCACCTTTATCTTTTTATCATCATCTCTTCTCCTATAACATGGATAACTGTCTTCAGCATGGACCGTTTGTTCGCAGAAATTTTTTGGATAATGATTCTTGCATGAACCGTTCCTCATACATGGGCTTGTTTGATCCATAACTCCGCATGGACCATGAATCATGTGTTTAAGAACAAGAGAGTATAGATGAGGATATTGATGAGGATTAGGGAGCTCGGCAGATACTATCCTATCATAAGATTGAGGATTCAACAACTTGAACTGTGGTTTCAAAATTAATAATAAATGAGCATGAGGAAATCCTCTTTTTTGGAATTCAATAACATAAACACATGCAGCTACCTCTTCAAAGATTTTCTTATCTAAAAGTTCAGATTTAAGCATTTCAAATTTTGATCTGAAAACTCTAGATAAAAGATCTGGTCTATCTTGAGGTTTTTCTATAAATTGCAGGTTGTCTTGAATTTCTTTCCACATCGGATTGCATGTCATCGTAAGAAAAATATCAGGTTTTCCATACTTTTGAACCAAGGCCATGGCATCAAGATATCGACGCCTCATATCTCGTGGTCCGCCTATGAATGAAGCTGGTAATATCACTTTACGACCAACCTTTGAACCTTCAGTCTGGCCTACTGAAAGACTATCCATCACTCCCTCAAGAATTTCAGTCCGAATATCATTCTGTCTTTTTCGTTGAAAATCCAACCTAGAAGTTTCAATCTTTACATACCCATCAACAGAAAATTGCTGTAATAATCTAAGTATATGCAGCAACATGGATTCATCGTTATCTCTAATTTGAAATCTATAACAATATTATTCTCTAGTCGAGACAGTATATTCCTCTTTCTTGCCACGGTCAGCAGCTATAAAAAGGAAAGAAACAATATATGAATGAAGAAATGTATTTATTTTAAATAATATTCAGAAATTTGAGAAGACAGCATGTGCACTTGCCACTTCTTTCCAGATCAATCAAATCAGAGGAGTGTTCAACAGAAAATGGATCAATATTAATTTCATCCTCACATAAAGCATCACCTCTTTTTCTCTTATAGACTCGTTTAATTCCATGGTGCCATCCAGATTCACCCC